TTTTTTTTTTTTTTTTCCTTTTTGTCTTTTTCCGTGTCCGGCAATGGATCAAAACCCTCAGTGTCGCCCCCGTACCGGACCGGGACCGGCAACGGGATCGCAACCCTCAGCGTCGTCCCCGCGCCTCGCTCAGCCAGTGAGCGGGAACCGGTCTGTATGTGGGATCCGAACCCTCGGCGGGAGCGCCACCGCGCTTCCCAAGCGGCGCACTAGCGCAGTGCGCCACCGGGCCGGCCCCCCCACATCCACTTTTAATGGTAGAAAATGAACTGGCATCGGGGCTGGCCCGGTGGCGCACTGCTATAGTGCGCCGCTTGGGAAGCGCGGTGGCGCTCCCGCCGAGGGTTCGGATCCCACATACAGACCGGTTCCCGCTCACTGGCTGAGCGAGGCGCGGGGGCGACGCCGAGGGTTGCGATCCCGTTGCCGGTCCCGGTCCGGTACGGGGGCGACACTGAGGGTTGCGATCCGTTGCCGGACACAGAAAAAGACCAAAAAAAAAAAAGAAAAAAAAGAAAATGAACTGGCATCTTGAGGAAGCCAAGGAGTGAGTCACCTTCTTGTCCTTACCTTTGCTCCTAGTGTCCTCTGGGTCTCCTGCCTATCCTCCTCCCAAGTGGGGGGGGTGTCTAAACTAAGAAATCCACCATCATACGTATGCACACACTCCATGGCCAGTAATCCCACGAGAGGGGACCACATGTGTGTTTGCCGATCGGGAGTGTCTCTGCAGCTTGATTCCTAGTGACCAAACCTGGAAGTCCCCCAAATGCCATCCATGGGAGATGGAGTGACTGAATGTGGTGTGTTCGCCCCATGGAATGACGTACAGCAGAGAAAAGAACCAGTGGTCATTGCACCAACTGAGCTACAGGAGCAGGCACAGGAGACCCGGAGGATCTGCCATTCCCTTCATACCCAGCATGAGACCAAGCAAAACTCATCTACGGTGGGGCCGGCCCGTGGCTCACTCGGGAGAGTGTGGTGCTGATAACACCAAGGCCACGGGTTCGGATCTCATATAGGGATGGCCGGTTAGCTCACTGGGTGAGCGTGGTGCTGACAACACCAAGCCAAGGGTTAAGATCCCCTTACCGGTCATCTTTAAAAAAAAAAAAAACAAAAAAAAACTCATCTACGGTGACTGGGCTGGGGACAGCAGTGACTTCTTGGGGAGGATGAGGAGTAAGGGGGAAGGGTGGAGCACCAGGGAACGTTCTGGGTGGATGGAAACATTCTATATCTGTTTTTTTTGTTTGTTTGTTTTTGGCAGCTGGTCAGTATTGTGATCTGAACCTGTGACCTTGGTGTTACAAGGCTGTGCTCTAACCAGCTGAGCCAACCGGCCAGCCCTGTTCTATATCTCGATCAAGGTGTCAGTGACACAGGTATAAGAACTTTTCACTGAAGCGATGGAGACATTTCAGGTCTGTACACACTGCTTTATGTGAATTATTCCTCAGTTTTAAAAAGGGTGATGGTGGGGGCAGGGACAGCAGCCATAAAGTTCATCTAGAGCTATGAGGAAGTAGGTGAACCATGATCTGGCTAAATTCACTGCCTGTGACCATGTTCTGTTCCAGCAGGGCTGGACTGTTTCCCTCGGGAGCGGGGGAAGTGCACCCCAAGTCACTTGTCACTTTGCAGGGAGCCCAGCTGGCCTCCTCCACTGCCCCCGAGCACACACCGTGAGAAGGAGGGGTCGCAGACGCCGCATTGTCTACACCCCGTCTACCTGACAAGACCCCGCCGAGCAGCCGCGTCTGACCGATTCCCTTGACCCTACAACAAAGACCCTCTTTGTTCCCTGGTAATATCCTTAGCAGGTCTGTCTAGACTCACTGTGGCAGTAATTGTCCCGTGATGTCACCACGTTCAGTGACCCGGCTCCTCCTTGCCCCACTTGGGCAGAGAATGCTCCAGATGGCCCCGAACCTAGGGACTCCCTGGCCCTCGACACCCACCTGAGTCTCCTAGGAAGAGAGACACACAGCCAGAGTCCAGGCCCACCACCTGAGACCTGGTAGAGAGGGGACACACCAAAGACACAGTCCCTTCCACAAGAGGTGCTGGGGGCAACCACCATCGTGGGTGAAAGTTGAAAGAGGGGGTTCACTTCTATCCCCCTAAAACACCCACCTCCCAAACATGGCTGGTGGGAAACAATTTACTCTCTACTAGGGCACGAGTTCATCCAGGGCATGAAAAAGAAGGTCAGAAGAGGGACACAGAGACAGACAGGGAGACAGAGAGACAGAAAGATGGAGAGACACAGAGAAACAGAGAGAGACAGAGACCCACAGAGGCCAAGAGAAACAGAAAGAGAGAGACCAAGAGAGAAACAGATGGAGAAAGAGAAGAGAGGTCGAAAGAGACATAAGAGAGACAGAGACAGAGAGAAACAGAGAGAAGGGGAGAAAAAGGAAAAAAGAGAGAGAAACAGAGAGACAGATCCAAAGAGAGAGACCCTAGAGAGAGGCCAAGAGAGACAGAAAGAGCTAGACAGACGGAGCGAGAGAAGTTGGCTGGTCCCTGAGAGAGGAGGAGAGGTTCCTTCTACAGAAGGGCAACGTGGGCTTCCGAAAACTCGGTTGGGGCAGGGAGCAACTTCCACTCACATCTTGTAACAAAACACACACCTTCAGGTGGCAGTGACAAGCCGTCACCTGCAGCATGCCACTGTCTGAGTCATACCAAGAACACCCCAAGGCATATTGTCTTGCGGGATGGATTCCCCACATCCAACAAGGACACCTTTTTAACAGGTCGATCTGTTTTTATCCCAGGCACCAAAAAAACCCCCAAAACCAACGGCAGCTCCAAGAGACCTCACCCACAGGCGGGTCTCACAGGTACTGAGCTTTGCAGAAGTTGCCAGACCCAAAAGCATGCTCACCATGTGACTCCATTCATGCCAAGTTCTAGTTTATGCCAGGCAAAACTCACCTAGTGGAGAAAAAGTCAGCAGAGAGTTTTACATCTGGGAGGTGAGGGGTGGTAATCGGGAAGGGGGTAGGTGGGCTTCTGCCAACCAACGTGGCACAAGGAGGGAATGCTGGAGATCTTGATCCAAACTCAGGGGTGCACATATGTAAAATTTCATCAATTAAAAAGACAGTATGCTCAGTATATGTAAGTCGGATTCCAGTTTGTTTGTTTGTTTGTTAGGCAAACGGTGGTAATCGGGAAGGGGGTAGGTGGGCTTCTGCCAACCAACGTGGCACAAGGAGGGAATGTTGGAGATCTTGATCCAAACTCAGGGGTGCACATATGTAAAATTTCATCAATTAAAAAAACAGTATGCTCAGTATATGTAAGTCGGATTCCAGTTTGTTTGTTTGTTTGTTAGGCAAACAGTCAGATCTGAGAAGGTCGGTGTCTTTTTAGCCAGGGAATGGCGAAGAATCCTTTCTTCTTGCTTCATAAACTTCAGGAAGAAAGTGGAAACTTTAGGTCTGGAGAAATGAAGACCAAGCAGAAGGGATATTTCCCTTTGGGCCACAGAATGAAAAACTGCCATCCTCTGCCATCCAAGCCCCAAAGCTCGGAGGGATTTCCAAAGATTGTTTAATTGATTTTTCTTCTATTTAGATGCAGATCACAGTGTCTGGGGCCCAGGAATTCAGACACTCAGCTTTGTGTCCACTCAACCCCGTGAAGGCTCCTGTCTGAAACTCGCACAAAGCCAGACACACAAGTCTTCAGAAACACGCTGTTCTTTTTTGTCTCGGGCTCGGGGGAGCGGGTGCGCAGGCAGGGCCTCGGACACGCTCCCATCTGCAGGGTCCCGGGACCCCCTCCCTCTGTACCGCTCGCAAAGTGGGGTTAAAAATAAATAGGGAAGCAGCCAAGACTTTGAGGTCTGAAGTGGGGGGTGATTAAAAAGGGAGGAAGAAGCCCAGCTGGGGATTGAGACATTGAGTTTCAACCTGGATTCTTCTCCCAGTCCAGGACTCTGGAGTGGGACGCAAGGGATACGTTAAATCAGCAGCTAATGGGTGAGGATGAACACAAGTTTGGCTGTAGTCTCTGCCAATCTCGTTTATATAAGGAGAAAACATTCCCATTTTTCTCTCTATTCATTGTTCTCCAGTCTGTCCCTCCAAATGCCCCATCTGGCAAAGAAATTGGGAAGGCTTTGCAGGCAGACACCCTGCTCAGGACACCAGGAAAGACACTCCCCCACTCCCAATATGCAGCCTTTTTCTCCCCCAGCTGCCAGGAGGCGACAGCAAGGGTCACTGTAGCCTCTTCCTAACAGGTTAAAATACCCCCTGCCCTCCACCCAGTATCCCTACCTGGTCCCTCCCAAACCTGGGAAGCACCTGCCTAAAACTCACCAGGGAATTCTCAGGAACCAACCTGAGTCACAGTTTGTCTCTGAGTAAATGGAAAAAATTTCTGATAAAGAGGAGAAAGATGGATGATTGCCAGATAAAGTGGGAGCCACCCCACTTAGATAACTGTGTCCTGGAAACGAGCAACATTTATATCCACTCCTGGACCCCACAGCCCCAGATCTGTAGCTGCCAGCCAGGGCGTGGGGCACTTCTGAAGCAATGCCACTCCTGTTTCTTGGCTGTGTGACCTCAGATAACTCCCTTCATCTCTCCTCTGGCCTCAGTTTCCTCATCTCTGGCCTCAGTTTCCTCATCCACAAAGCGGGCCCATGAATAACTGCACCTACCACGCAGGGCTGTTGGGAGACTTCACAGCACTGGACACTGAAAAGCACAAAGTAAGCTACAGTGGTTACCATCTGGGAAGAAGATGTGTGTACCAGATTTAATATTTTGCAGGAGGAGATTTTCTTTGGTGCCATATATTTCCAGAGGGAGCCAAGCTCCAAGCCTGATTCTTACCATCCAGATCTGAGTTACCTGGACTGCAATCCAGCTGGCATTCACCGTGTGTTCCCCAAAGGGGCCAAACCCTGAAAAAACAGTAAAAGCAACATGTTATCACAGAGTGGCCCTTGCCAGCCTGCCCCAGGAAGGCCACTCCTTCCACCCAGGAGAAGCAAGCAGGGAGCTGTGGAGAGCAGCTGCCACCTGCGAGAGCACTGAGGGTCTGGTCCCGAGTTCTGGGGAGCACCCAGTGGCTCTCCAGAACCACCCTTCCCTCCCCATTTGCTCTCAACTGACTCCTTCCCCATCCTCACTTCCACCTGACCCTCCTGCCCTCTGCAAATCACCACCAATGAGAAATGGCCCTCGAGGGATTCACGTGGGTTTTCCCAGCCCAGGCTGTCCAGACCCCATCATGCCACCCTCCTCCCCACTTGGTTAAACTCCAGGTTCCCTTTCCAATCCAAGACAGTCGCTTGAGAATGTGCTAAGTGATCTGCGTGCACTGTGGCATTCAACCTCACCTCACCCCCTTTCAGGCAAGGGTGTTTCCTGGGCCCAATCTGCAGGAGCAGGAACTGAGGCACAGAGAGGTGAAGCCAGCTGACCAAGGTCACACAACAAGAAGGTGGAAGAGCTGGGATTCAAACCCAGACCCATGAGAGTCCATGGCCTTGGTCCCCTTTTCTAATCAGTGGGTAATAGTGCCTCTAAAATTAACATCTCCAAGAGTGTGGCCAGTCCAGCTGGGCCAAGGACCCCGTGCAGTGTCAATATCATAGGAGGGATGCCATGGGAGGGATGCTGTGCCCTGCAACAGCAAGTAAGGGAGGCAAGTCAGGAGGGGACGTCCTGACCCCCTTCTTCTGCACAGATGGAGTTTGAACCCCAGCTCAGCTACTTACAAA